CCACGTGTTGGGATGCTTGAGAAGTAGTGGGCTGAGATGCTTGAGCTGGCTAGGATGTTTAAGTTGGCTGAGATGCTTGAGCTGACTGAGGTGCTTGAGCTGGCTGAGATGCTTAAGTTGGTTGAGATGTTTAAGCTGGATGAGATGCTTGAGCTGACTGGGATGCTTGAGTTGATTGAGATGCTTAAGTTGGCTAAGATGCTTGAGTTGGCTGAGGTGTCTGGACTGCTTGGCTATTAGATGGTACCTTGCAAGTAATCTTGTTGTGTCCTGCTTTCTTACACCTGCTACACTTTATAATGAATCTTGCCCTTCTCATCTTTTCATCAAAACCATATCTCACCTTGCTCCAAATTCTTCCTTTTTTGGGCTTTTCAGACATTTTCCTAAATTTGGAGGACATAACATCAGGATACTTTGCTCTCATCCACAGGTTTGAGTCATTAACAGAATAAATTACAGGTTTGTACAATTGCATATATCTTGATTTCCTGTAGTAATCAGGAATATAGTCATCAATGTTGTGGTTCCTACTTTTGATTGCTGCAAGTGAATGAACACAAGGCCAGCCTGTTAGCTCCCATCTTCTCCATGAACAATACTTTTCCTTCAAGTTGACTGTGAATTTTTCAGCTGGATTTTTCAGATGCCTCACTTCAAATATATGCTCATCAGACATCCTAACATATAAATACACATTCCAAAATCATACATCATATCACAGAAATTGTTTAAAGAAATTTGTTTAAAATAATTTACCTGACAAGTCACATGTTTGTGTATGAACTTGTTTTCTCAACCTTCTTCATAATGTTAGGCAACACTTCAACATCTGCCAATTTATGAAACCCCATCCTATTTGTAGCCCATCTCTCCATCATGCATATCCTAATTTCTTTCACCATGATTATCAATGGCTTGGCCCTAGACTCCAGGATGACACTATTAAATGATTTTGACACATTATTGAGAATAACATCACATTTTTTATCAGTCTTGGGTGTATGATCTACTCCAAAACCACGGAGGGGTGCTCATCATGTGTCTGTATGCTTCTCCATTGAGCTCTTTCATTACTTTCATCTCCCTTTCCCAAGCTTGGTAGTTAGTTGACTTGGCAGTTTTCCACGTGATTTCCTTTAGTTTTTTTCCTGGATACCTCTTCTTGAAGTTATTGTAGAGATGCCTAACACATAATCTTTGTTCAACTCTAGGCAGCAGTTCTTCTATTGTAGGCAATAATCCCTATGTCATCAAAAATGTAACATGAGAATTTGTAACATGAAATACTTATCATTTCATAATTAAAAATAGAGCCATACCTTTTGTTGATCAGAGATAAAAATGTATGTCAGGCACTCTTCTCTTCCACCAAGATCATCAATAAGAAGCTCTAAGAACCATGTCCAGTTATCCTTGTTTTCACTCTCCACCAACGCATATGTTATTGGTAGCATTTGATCATTGGGATCTCTGCCTATGGCTGCAAGGATTTGACCCCCACAAAGGCCTTTCAAAAAACATCCATCAAGTCCAATGAAATGCCTTCTTAACTTAAAGCTTTCCTTACAAGCTTCCAAGCATATGTATATCCTTTGAAATGTAGTTTCTGAACACCACCACCTTCTTGTGTAGGTTCGACATTCACTTTTACAGTTGACATTGGGTTAGCTCTTAATAACTCATATGCATAGTCATATATCCTTGCATAATCCCCTAGGAATGACCCAACAACCATGTCTTTGGATGCAAACCTAGCCCTTATGGCCTTGGTTTTGTTGACCCCCACATTCCACTTCTTCTGTACCTTCTCCTTAATGTCCATAATTTTCATTCTATGGTTGGTTTTAAGTGAATTCTACAACCTCTTGCTCAATCATTTAGTCTTCAACAACTTCACATTATATTCTCTACTGCAACTATGAATGTCTACTATCTTTCTTAGTTGCCAAGAATCCTCAGTAGACAATTTTAGCACAATAAGATTCCCATTCACGTCCTTCCTTACACCTAACCTTAATCCTGGTCTTGTCATTTTTAATGAACTTTAAATTGCTGCCAGATTGGACTGTATAAGAGGTAATAGCTTCCTTGAAATTTTTCGCTGTACTAAAGTAGGTTCCCACTTCCCATTTATAATTGGACATATTCTTTTGAAGCTTGATAATTAGATACTTCTTTCTCCTAACTCTACTGCTATCCTCACTATCACAGTCACTTCCTAGATCATCACTTTCATTATCACTTCCTTTGTTATCTTCTTTGTTTGCTTCACACTTTTCTTTACCTTTTTTTTCTTTCCACTTGTTCATCATTAACTTCATAGTCAATTAGGTTACCCTCTTCCTCTTCCAATTCAGTGTCATACTCATCAGAATCATCATCAAATACTACATCCATTGCACTATCATAATTGAATATGCTATCATCAAAACTATCATCATCATCAGTCAGTCTTATAGCATCAACCTCACCAGCCCTATGTTCAATATCATAATTTTCAACCTCACCAACCATTGGCCCATTATCATCAGTTCCTACTGCATGAACACCATCTTCCCTAACATCATCTTCCCTAACACCATCTTCCCTAACTTCATCCATACTAACATCATTTTACCTAACATCATCTTCCCTAACACCATTTTCCCTTACATCAGTTTCCTTCAACACCTCCTCAAACACAACATATGCCTCATCAACTATCTCATTAAAGGGTACCTCATCTAACACAACTTCAGTCTCATCAGCATAATCAGGCTTTGGCAACATGTGTTGAATAATGACTTCAACACTAAGATGAACCCTATATAGATCAGCAGTCTCTAATGCCCGCTTGTCATCAACCAACAGATTCATCCCAACAGTAAGATCCCTATAATATATATTCTCTACATCTGCTTAACCTAGCTCTTTAATAACACATATCAATTCAAAATAGCTCCACTTATCAGCATATACTCTCAAATCGGCAATCTCACCTCCTTCGTAAACACTCATGTCCTGAGTAACAAATTCACCACCATGGTGTATTGTAATGTTCAGATGTTCATCCATTTCAGACTATGATGCTCTAAATAGACACAAAAAACATAGATTTCAGAAAGATTGATTTCAAAAAACCCTAACTATGAAAATTATAATTTTGCAGAAACTTATCTATGATGAGTTGTGTTGTGGTCGCTTTCACCTTCAAGAACGGAATATGTCTTCGCTTCGCTCGCAGCTTCTTCGCAGAACAGAGCTACCAACAATGGCAGCGCTAGGGTTAGCTTCAAGTGTTGGAGATGTATTCTGATACTTTAACCCATTCACTTTTCTATTTTAGTATTAAGATACTTTAATCCACCTGGACAGAAATATAAATACGTGTAATGACACATATATGCCACATAAGCGCTACTATTGATTTTGACTAACAATTTAGATGGAAATGACAAACGTGATCATTTTTGAACAATTAAAAGATCATTTTGAAACTTTTTAAAAATAAGAGACCAAAATAGACCCAAAAATAAAATTAAAGAACTAAAAAGTATATTTTACCTTAAATAATACATAATACAGTAAACAACTAACGATGATTGACAAAGCAGTATAATTGTTGTAAAGTTAATGCAATAGTAATATTCATTATTTAATAAAAGAATTCAATGCAACTAATGAATGACACCCGACTTATTGAAGAAACAATACAAATAGTAGTACACAACTACTAATAATTTTATTGAATACATTATAATTTAAATTTTTACTACCAATAATTTTATTGAATACATTAATAATTTAAATTTTTACTCTACTACAAATAAAAGATGTGAGCAAACTATTGTATGTTAACTTTAAATTATAAAGTAAATTGCAGACAACAGACAATACTATCTAGCTCATCTACTATAACTATTGTATATGGAAAAAAAATTTATTATTGATTTAAATATTTTTATATACAAAAAATAATATTTATAATTTAAATATTTTTGATCAAAAAATGATATAGAGAAAAAAATCTATTATTCATCTAAATATTTTTATATACGAAAATTTACTATTGATCCAAATATTTTTGTAAACAATACTTAAACAAAAATAATATTTGTATACAGAAAAAAAATCCATTATTGATCTAAATATTTTTATATACGAAAAATGATATTTATAATTCAATAAATAGTATACGAAAAAAATCTATTATTAATCCAAATATTTTTATATACAAAAAATATACATAGAAACATAAAGTTATTAATCAAAATATTAAATATTAACGTTAACATAAACGTCCTGATCGAAATATTTTTTTATTAATTATACATTAAATTATTATTTTTTCACAGATACCAAACATTTTTCTATTAAAAAATATACATCTGAAACAAATACACATCCCGTACAAGAACTCGTGCAAACGCAAGGGTTTGTTACTAGTGAATAATAAAAAATGAAATCCAATATTCAATGCATGATTGAGAAGAACACTCCAGTGAATCAGCTGTTTACATTTATTTCTTCCCATCCCAAACTACCAAAAATTTAGTTCGAAACGTTTTTTTATGTTAGTTTTGAATAAACTACAGTGCACTTTGCTGTACCCTTTACACAGTAAAAGCAAAGTACACTGTCTGAATAATTTTTTTTAAAAGCAAAACCCATAAGGAGAAAATCTGAAAACCCAGAGATCACAAAAATCCAAAATTTACTGCATAAATACGCAATATTTCAATTTCAATCTGTTGATTCTTTTTCATTTAGGGGATTTCAATCCTTTAACCTAAAGCAGATTAGCAAAAGAAAAGAACCAAATTCACTCAGCAAGTTCAGTGTCTAATTTGCAATCGCAAGTTGACCTCTGAATTATTGCACAGGGAAAAGAAGCCCGCCCACTAGAGTTATAAAAATAAGGGCTCACACAACAATGCAGGAATACCGATCCAATCAAAATTACAAACGTTTTATTTAAGTATTGTTCAGAAGCTTAAATAGACAGTTAATCACGAATGCTAATGATGTTCACTCACAACCCCATCCTCCTGACCTTTCCTGGCAGCAGCTCTTATTTTGCGTTGCTCCTCCTTGTAAACCCTGTTTCTTCGTTGGAACTGGAATATGAAATAAAATCAACATCAGTAATTTATATGGCCATTAATCAAAACACAGACACAATAATTTTGATTGTACACTGGGTAATAATATAATAAACAATGATTTTTATCTCACACATAATAAGTAACAATAGAAAATACCCAACAGTTCCCTTCTACCCTCAATAGCCCTCTTCTCCAAGTTCTTATCTTGGATAAAAAAACTAACTTCCATATCACTCGTCAATTTCCCAAACTAATATTTTTGTCAACTATAGCCATTATGTTTGTGTTGTGTGGTTTGATTGCAAAGGATGATTGGAGTATCTATATCCTAAAAGCACATAGTACACACAACTTTTACAAGATAAAATAATAGAAAGATATAAAAATTAAAAAAAATAGCCTAATCGAACTGAGTTTCATAATGCCAGCAAAAAACTCAATAAAGCATTACCTCGACGGACAAATTTATCCAAACAAGAGGAAAAATAAGTAAATCAAGTAGTTAACAAGTTTCGATAAGATTTTCAGTAAGATTGATTGGTTTAGAAGAATCCAAATTCTGACTGGACCAATTCTTGATTGGATTTTACTAACTTTCCAACCGAGCTGGCGAGCTCTGAATTACCAGAGCCCTTACTTCTGGGAACAGAAGAGTAAAAAAAAGGAATTAGTATAAACTTATATCATGAAAAACAATTCTTGAGATAATGCTTTAGTGAGTTGTTTTCTGGCATTATGAAACTCAGGTCGATTATGGTATTTTTTATTTATTTTTTATATCTTTTTCTTATTTTATTTTGAAAAAGTATTGTATATTTCAGTAGATGTTTGGATACACCAGAATAGAGTACCTATTTGGAGTCCAAGAATCTATATGTAAGTTTCTAACCTCATAAGTAAACAGCATTATATGAGAACAACATAAAATGTCTGAAATTAATCATCATATTATTGTCAACCACAGTACTTCACATCCTTAAAACTTTGTCATGACTATGAGTTATTGGAGAATCATACAAGGTCTATAAATAATTCCAAGCCATTCAGGTGTGCCAAATATGAAACAACAACTGATGCTCCATAGACAATAAAATGAAATATAAATACAATATGTAATCAAAGCACGAGAAGACAACTCTAGAAGCTTAAAATATCTATTGTTAAGGTCTAGCTCTAGCTATAATTCAATGTTCACTGAAATCCATAGTCTAACTCTGTTGAGTACTAAATTGTGCTCTCTTGCCAAATCATGGTTGTTGTAGATGAGAATGAAAAGAAGCCCGTAAGAATTGAAAAAGTTCTGTTACATGATGTTAATTTTGTTAGTGGGTGTAACTTGGTTTGGAAGTTAGTTGGTTAATTCTGATTGTTTTTATCCAATAAGCTTTATAAATTGACCACAACGTATCTACTTTTCTGTATCTATGAACATGATTCCAATAGAGAATTTCTTCTCTCTTGGAAGCTCTCAAGTTTGCTTGTTCTTTTTCCCACCTTATCCTCTGTTTACTAATAAGTCCCAATAAATCAGCACAAACCCTACATTGTTTTCAGTGGTTGAGTGATAGACTAAAATGGAACATAGGTTAAAGCTTAACCGTTAAGCTATGATTGCTACAGAGCAAAGACAAAATTTGCTAAAGTCGTCAAACACACCTTTATTCTATGTTTCTTTCAACCGAAAATAAGAGGGGTGATGCTGAGAGGGGAGAAATGAGATGCATATAAAACTTTCTCCCACCGATTATGGAGAAAAAACAAAGGAAGAAAAAGAATTACATATGGGACTCAAAAATGTTTTTACTCTTTTCAAGTGGAGAGAAAGCAAGTACTTTGAGAAGAGGATCCACTCTTTTAATTATACCCAAGTAACGATTGTACTTCTCATGTCAATATGGACTCCACTGGAATTTTTCTCATCAAGATAAAGGGAACTTCACATCAATTAAGCATCTTCCTTTATTCTTTTTTCACTTTTCCAATAGAAGAAACAGGAAGATGCTAATGTATGGAGGACTGGTATAGCCTCAAATATGTGGGTAAATTAGGGTTAGGGATTCTTTTCACATTAGTCCTAATTCTTAATCACTGCATTTGTATGTGCTAATCAAATCCAGCTATTGTGGCCACTGGGACGTGCTAATCAGATCTAGATCAAACAACGGATTTAATGGGAAACAGGGGAAATTGATAGGGTTTGCAAAAGAGGCAAATAAAATAACTAGAAATTAGGGTTTGAAAAAACGAAATAGAGTGAATCCGAAATGGATGAAGAAATTGTAAAAAGTAAAAAGTGAGAACGAAAAACGGAACGGATTGAAGAGAGTAGTACCTCTTTGGAATGGTGGAGGCATTCGAGGTAATCTTCACGGAGGAGAGTACAGTCTTTGGGTTCTCTGCAAGTAGACATACACTCGCTGAAATCGATCCAGAAATCGTAGCATCGGCCTTTGTTTCCGGTGATTCCCCATCCTGACGCCATTTCTACAGCTTCACCTAGTTTCTTCTGCTTCGTCGATCTCGCTCAATTTTGCTTCTCAATTGCAACTTCGATACTCTCTCGTTCTTCATCTTCTTACAACGTTAAATTACCAAAAAGGCCATCACTATTTCATTTTCTTTGCCATCAAATCTTTTTTTTTTTTTTTTAATTCTTAATTGCAATATTGGTCCCGTCCCATTGTTTTCTTTTGATTTTAATTTTCACTTTTTTTTTTTAAATAGTAAAATTTGAGTGGTCAAAATCAAACTGTTTTAATAAAAAATAACTAATTGAATCCAACCAACTAAAAACCGAAAAAAAGTTGTATTTAGCAAAAAAAAATTGTAATAATCAGGTTTTGAAAAAAAATTTCACAAATAATTATGTTTCAGAGAAAATTTCACAAATAATTATGTTTCGGAGAAAATTACACAAATAATCATGTTTCAGAAAACCCTACAAAGGAGGAGCCATCTCAATTAGCGCATACACCTTATTTTAAAGAGGAGGCGTCATCTCACTTGGTGCCTAGGTGTTAAATGTGTGCCCTAAGCCAAGTGAGATGGCGCTTAATGCAATGGGCAGACGATTTTTTGTGTTTTTCATTTTAAATGTGGGACGTTAAGTAAACGATATAGGATCATGAAAATTCGACTTTTTATTTACACAATACGATTACAAAAAACTATTAAATAAAAAATATTAAATAAAAAGGTTCCAAAAAGTATGATTATATAATTTCTAGCTTTTATTACCTTGGGGAAGGCATCTCTGCATGCATGTAATACGATTGGACGTGTAGGGAGGCGTCATTGAACTTGGTGAATGAGTAAAATTGAAAGGTGTCGTCATCCCTATTGGCGAATTAGAGGTGGCATGGGTTGCAGTGTAGGTGCAGTGTAGGTGGCAGCCTTGGGGAAGGCATCTCTGCATGCATGTAATACGATTGGACGTGTAGGGAGACGCCATTGGACTTGGCGAATGAACACAAAATTGAAAGGTGTCACCATCCCTGTTGGCGAATTAGAGGTGACATGAGTTGCAGTGTAGGTGCAGGCTAGGTGGCAGCCTTGGGGAAGGCATCTCTGTATACTGTAGCAACTGGTTTTTAAATCAGAGCCGCCACAATTAGTTTTTATCCTAGGGAAGGGAATCTAACAGAAAACTCTAATTCACAGACAGAGATTCTAGGTTTTTGACTCAATTACACGAAAGGAAGGTGTTAGCCACCTTTCATCTACCTTGTTCACAAGGATATTAGCCTATAGGTTTAGGTTTGGGGTAAACTGGATTTTAAGTTTTAATTAGAAAGACTCGCCACGATTTTTGATCATATGCATATGTATCCTCTTATGAGGAACCAGAGTCCCAATTCGTAGTTCGTATGGGTTGGTGTTTTTTAAGGGTTTGCAAACATATTTTGAATGACTTCGCACTCGGTCGGGAGTAGTGATTGCGGAGATTTTGACTGAGAGCGCGGTAAGTCAAAACTAGTTTGAAACCCTTTTGCAAAAACAGTTGATTAGTTTAGTTTATTGTGAAAATTAATTTGATGATTGGTTTTTATTTTTTTAATCGTATTATTTGCGAAAATCTTGATTAATGCATGATTGAAATATTTAATGCAATAATATAGAAAATATGTACATGAACTTTGAGTAAAATAATTTATTTGCTAATATGATAATATCTACATATAATAAATGATAATAATAATAGATAAAATATGATAATAAAAATTAATAATAATAATAATTATTATAAATGAAAAAGAAATAGATAATTAATAATGATAATAAGAATAAAATATAGTATAAAAATAATATAAAAGAAAATAATAAAAAATAATAATAATAATTTCTGCAAATCTGGGGGGGGTGTAATTTACGTTAATAAGTAAAATAAAGGGGGTGTTAAAAAGAGTCAGGCTAGGCCCAAATATATCTTTGGCAAGGGGGGGGGGGGGGGGGGGGGGTGCAAACATTTTGGATTTTAGTAAACTGGTAAAAAGGGGGGTGTATAAAGAAACTGGGCTTGACCTATTGTTTGTTTTGGCAAGCTGGAATGATCGAGTGTGGCGTAGATCATGGGAATACGGTGGGACTTGGCCTTACGGCCGTCCCATAACGATCAAACGGATGACATTAGAAGGCGCATGTTTATTACGGTGCACGCTCACGTATTGAATCATATGGTTTAATAAGTTTTGTTTTTTACATTTTTCAATTTTCACCTTTCAACATAACCTGTTCATCTCTCTCTCTCTTGCGCAAAACATCCCCTTCACTCCCCAAACCCTCCCTCACCGTTTCCACCCAACCTGTGACCCTAATCCCTTACCTCTCCGGCGGCGCAACCGTCTCTTACACACCAACCCTCAAACCCTTAATCAATCAATAACACTAAAAGCTGAGCAACCTTACCCTTCCTTGTGATTTTTGTTCCAATTTTGGATCTGATTTGGTACTAACCTTGCTCCGCCTTCTTCTTTGTGCTTTTGGTAGGTAATGGTGCTCAACAATGGCGAAGGCGAACGAAGTAGCAGTGGCTGATGGCGGTGGATGCGATTGAAGGCTCATTCGAGATACAGTCAAGCAATTAGGGTTTCAGATATTGAAACCCTAATTTCATTCTCTTCACTCTTCAACGCGAGGCTCTTGTTCGATCTTCTTCAGTTCGTCCGTCTTCCTCTGTATTTTCTTCTGCTTTTTCCCTCTCCTCTATTTCTGTATCAACAAATCCCCCCTCATCTCTTTTAATTTCTGTTATTTATAGAGTTTGTAAGTGCCCTGGCTGGAGAGTTGGCTTCATTTGTAAAACAAATAAGAAAGCAAGTTTACCCATATTCCCTCTGTTGTTTTAATATGTGGGGTTGAAGAAGTTCAACATCTGGACCAACATGTTATGTAAGATGTCACAACATCAGCATATGACATCGCGCCTGAAATTAAGTACTAATTAAGTAACTATGTTATATGTTGAATGTTTGTAACAGCTGTGACTTGTAACCTAACTATTCTAAGTGATCTAAATTATGAAAGAGGTTATTTGTTGTGTTGAAGAAGTTCAACATCTAGGAAAACATGTTAGATGTAATGTCATGACATCTGACTTGACATCACGTCAACAGAATTGATAATTCAGTTACAGTTCTGGTACTTAAATACTCTGAGAATATATGTGGCGTTTCTTATGGAGAATCTGAAGATCAATCAAGAATCAATCAGAATATTTTAAGAAAATACTGTTTCTAAAATATGGAGATATTTTAGGAACTAGAAGATTGAAGACCTTGATTATAGGAGAAGTTTGCTGCTGAGTTGTAACAGCAAGGAGAAAAGCTTGCTGAGATTTTTGAAGGCCCAAATCCAGTTGGATAATAGGTTATAAATAGCAGATTGTAACCTAGGGTTTGGAACTCTCAAATAATGTAACATTGGGGGTGTTTTGTTAGGTAAACCTGTCGGTCTGTGGCAAGGTTACCATGTGTGTAACTCGATACCTGTAGGTAAGGGTTTGAGTGTTCTTGGACGAAGCTATGAAGGAAGTCTAAGTGTTTCTGCATTACTTCATATACATTGTAATGTAGGAAATCAAGTGGGAAGGCTCTACTTCTTGAGTAGGAGTAAGACTTCTGTTGCTGCGGCAATAGGAATGGAAACTAGTAGGTTTCTATCTAGGAGTTCCTAGGTATAGGTTGCACTGGGTAGATGATTAAGTGAAGGATGGGAACTTGTGAAGTTTAGTCCTGAATTAATATTGCTGATAGTGGATCTTCTTCCTGGCTTGGTATGCCCCCAGAGTAGGTGTGTTTCACCGAACTGGGTCAACAACTGATTTGTGTTTTTACCTTCAACACTTTATAATTCTGTCTGTTATATATCAAGGTAAAACTGTAATGTTGTAACAGATAATGTCTCAGAACATGTTAAGACATCATGCTGATATCTGTGCAGAAGAAACAGAACTGTGAAGGATGTTCTCTCTCTGTTGATCATGTGCAACAGATGAACAGAACTAGGTTCATCGTTGTTCTATCCTCTGCACCTTCAAAGTATATCTGGCACAGCTTGGTTAAACTGTGCTTCTGTTTCTCTTCAGTACTGAATCACAAAAATTGGGTATCTACATTGCAGTGTACTTATTATGTCATATCAGATGTCCAGACATTGAGTATAACATATGAATTCTGGCATACACCAGAATTTCAATTGGTATCAGAGCAGGCATCCTGTTCTGTTTCTGGATGAGATCCATGGGTGATACTTTCTGGTATCTGCAAGGTCAATCTTAGTACTGGAGATTGTAACCTGGAAAGGTTTGTTATTTCCCTGAATGATCCCTTAAAGTGGGAGGATGGACTATTCATGACAAGAACTGTGTGTACCTGTCTTTGTGATTGGCATTTGGCCTGGTTGTGTGGTAGCTGCTCCAGGTTTGATTTATTTTCAAACCTAGGATTTGTGTACGCCTGAAGTAGTGTGTGTGCAAAGATTGAGTTGTATTATGTTCTTCCGCTGCATAATACTTGGAAAACTCAAGTTCTGATGTGTTTCCCCTCTTGTGGATTGAAGGCTACTGTATTCAAGATTTCAACGTAAGCTATTGAAAATGTCACAGATACTTGAAGTCCTCTCAAGTCCACTCATGAAGACGTTCTTCTTTCAGGATGGTAAGAATCACCTAATCACTGATTCCCTCACTCTCTTGAGTAGTGTTATACGAAGACCTTGAAGAATTTCAAGGAGGGTTTCATTCCAAGGTGATGGAACTGATGTTCTATGCGACGGTGGAACATGTGTTCAACAAGTATGCAGCTACTAGTTGAAAAGCATATGTTTCGGGTGTCAAACAAAGGGATACTTTTGTTTGAAACCTACTCCTGACCTGGAAGAGGAGACATCTGTGTGTGCAAAGTTGACAATGGTAGAGTCAACTATGTCTGTGTGCTCCCGAAGGTTACTTTTAGAAGTCAGAACTCTAGAAGTAGAGCTGGTTGA